CCTGCCATTAAATTCAAGAAGCTGCTGCTCCCAGACAGCACATCTCATTTGTCATTACGCTTCGTGTCAGGTTTTGAACTGCTGTTAGGGTGTTAAGAGACTCCTGCAGCTGCTGGCCTCGCAAAGTTTTATTGCAGATCCTACTGTAGTAAAGTTAGGAAGTGTGCAAGGACAGAGAGAGCACTAGCTCATGAACCTCTCCCGAGTTGGGGATTTGATTCACCCATGACCTAAAGCCCTGGTGAAAGCAGTTGACTGGGAAAATCCAGTACCGATTTACCAAAGGCAAATCATGCCAGCCTAACTTGATCACCTGCTACAAGAAAATAACATCTGTCAAGAGGGGCAGAGCAGCAAGCATTATTTAGCTACACTTCAGCAAAGCATTCAAGACCGTTTCCCACAGCCTTCTCCTGGACAAGCTGGCAAGATACAGACTGGGTGGGTGGTCTGCCAGATGGACAGGAAACGGTCTCACAGGTCACACTCAGTGGGTGGCGATCAATGTTTTTTACTCAGGCTGGCAGCCTGTCACAAGCAGGGTTCCCCAGGGATTGGTGCTGGGCCCCACACTGTTCAATACCTTCATAAATGATCTGGATGACGGGACTGAAAGCACCCTCACCAAGTTGCTGATGTCACTACACTTGCTTGGTGAAGTGGATATGTCAGAACGGAGCACCATCTTTCAGAGAGACCTGGACAGGCTGAAAGAGGGGGCTAGCAAGAACTGTATGAAGTTAACAAAGTTAAAGTCGTGCACCTGGGGTGACATAACCAAAGAGCCCAGCGCAGGCTCAGATCTGCATGGCTGGGGACCAGCCTTGCTGAGAGGGACCTGGGGGTCCTGGTGCACGGCCAGCTGAACATGAGTCAGCAGTACACTTGGCTGCAGCAGCCAAGGCAAATTGGATCCTGAGCTGCAGCCTCAGGGGCATTACTGGCAGAGACAGAGACGTGATCATTCCCCTCAGCGCTTGTCAGGCTGCACTTGGAGTAGTCCAGTTCTGGGCCCCCCAGTTCAAGAATGATGCAGACTGGAGAGGGTCCAAAGGAGGGCCACAAAGATTATCAAAGGACTGGACAAATAGCCCCATGAGGAAAAGACTGAAGGACTTGAGTCTTTTCACCCTGGAGAAGGCTCAGGGGAGACCTCATCACATACTTAAAGGGCAGCTACAATGAGGATAGAGCCTCCTCTTTGCAAGGAGCCACATGGAGAAGGGCCAACAGGTCCAAGTTGTATCAGGAGAGGATCTGTTTCAATGCAAGAGATTTTTTTACAGTGAGAAAAATCAATCACAAGAACAACCTCCCCAAGGACATGGTATTATTTCCTATCAACGGACGTTTTCAAGGCACAACTGAACAGGGTGCTAAATAATGTCATCTAGACTCTTTCTCATGAGAAGTTGGACCAGATGGTCTTTCAAGGGTTGCTTTCAAGCTGGGCTGTTCCATGATTCTGTGATTCTAAGTCATGGTATGCTTCATTTACACTTAAAAATCCAGGACTGGAAAAGGAAGCAGCAGAGGAATGACAAAAGAAGATTCAAGGAAAAAAGGGATGGAAAACAGTGCAGGAATATGTTTTGTCACTGGGGATTAGGGCATGTGTTTCCTGTCTCTGTCAAGGCATTCGCAGTAACAGCTTGACAAAAATAACCAGCACCCCACTAACTTTTTTCACCCATTAATACAACTGGGTATTAGTTGCACTGCTCCAGAGAAAGCCTTATTAGCAGCCTATGCAGCAGAATATCCTTCTAAGAACACAGGTCTCTTCCACATCACACTGATCTCAGTCCTTGATGACCTTGACCAGAGTTAAGTGCCTCTTAATCACATGCAAGTACCCATTACTAGGATCCAAAAAGAGAAGGCTAGACAGTGTTAAAAAATTAGTATTAGAATTTCCCTCTTCTGCAGATTATTGTAAAACTCTCAGCATTGTGAATTTACTGAGTGCTAATCTCAGACTTAAAAATGAGACCCCCTATTGACTTCTTTACAGTAAATATTTGTAGTGTGTGCTTAAGTTGTTTTTTTAATAAGCAGGTTGAGGATGTCATATGAAACATACAGCTAAATTGTGTATTACCTTGCAGTCAAATTTTCTCCATATCAATCTCTGCAGCTGACCAACATTAAATTGTAAGTGGATTTGTGAAAGGTATACTTTTTCTTTTAGTGAAGCTCAGGCCTAACAGGGCCTATACAGCTGTCTTCACTACTCTGTTCAAGTGAAACTGTAGGTCTTAAACTAGATACATCGGTGTTTTGGGGTTTTTTATGGAGGCTATGTTCATCTAATATGAAATGGTACCCTCTTAAAATTTTAAAAGACAGCATTCTTCTTTAACTCATGCTTAACTACTATTACTAATCCTCTTTGCCTTTTCTGATTATGTAGTTTTGTCATTCAAAACCAGCCTATTATTACTCTTCCACCTGAAGAGTTACACTGTGAAACACCACTTAAATGGAAAGAATAACTGCTTTGGCCAGTTCTCTTGGTCTCCAGCTTCTACTGCACACACATACATCATGGCAGATTCTACCCTTGACAGAGATCAGTATCCCTTCACCAAAAGTTCAAGGATGGCAATTTGATGCTTCTGTGCCCACAATACACTGCCAGCAAGTCATGTGCTCTGCAACTCCGATTTTTCTGGAGTCCAGACTCCACATTCAGTGTATTAAAAAATTGCTTCTAGACACTCAGGTGGGGCCCTGACTTAAGAGCCTTACCATGCACACAGGAAGGGGGGGGTGGAAGCTTTTTTTTTTTAATCACAACTTCTCAGGTTGTGATTATACAGGAAACAAAAACTGAGGTGGATCCTAAGTACTATTTTAAGAACAACTAAGACAATCTATTTAGCTGCAGACCATTCTAAGATCAAACACTTAACATGTACTCTTAAGCCAGAGCAGAATTCCCACCACTCTTACCTGGTACTAGATCTGCACACAGTACAGTCTGAATACATAAAGGCTGTTAATGTTTTTTATCCTTGAGTGAAATTTCTAAATCAAACCTTTTAATGGCTGGCTTACTCATACCCAGTATTCAGTATGAATTTCAAAAGCAGAATACTGAACTACTTCTAGAAGCACAGATGTCTTGTTGGAAGGGTTGGAAGGGACCCACAAGGATCATAGAGTCCAACTCGCTGCTCCTTGCAGGACTACCTGAAACTAAACTGTTTGGCCAAGAGCATCGTCCAGATGCTCCTTGAACTGACAGGCTTGGTGCCATGACCACTCCACTAGGAAGCCTGTTCCAGTCGCGGACTTAATTGCACTTATTTCTGCCAAGAATCAGTGGAAGGCTTTATGCTTTACCAATCTTACACTCAGTATCAAATGCAAGTGACATGATTCCTCATCTGGTAACACTACCTTTATTTAAGATTTAAACACCCCAAACCAACCATTGGAATAGTACCAAGTGAGTTCTACCCACAGCTCTCAGCTCCTAAAGATTAGTT